AAAATCAAGAAAATCCGGACACTTTTTCTATTTTTGGGGAAATGAAGTGAACACACACACACACAAAAATACTTAATTTAAACGCCAAAGAAACCATGTGGACTGCGCGAAATTAAGTAAACTAGTGGGGCGCAACACTAATTTTGGAAGCTGGTCAGAATGCTGTGCAATCCTAGCATTTAACGGTATAGTACATATTTTCGAAAAGTAGAGATTTCTAGCTTGGAAACGGTATGGTTTCTCGATTCTTCTTATTATTATTGTTGTGCAACACACTAAGAGATACACTTATCGTGTGTGACAGGGCTAATGATAACCGTGGAACAGGAGTCGAGCCTGGCACCCAATTGGTTGGAAGTCAATTGCTTAGGTTAGTCAACTACATCCTCCTCACTGGTATGTTTTCTAAGATCACACATTTAATCACGGACGTTTCGCCATCAGATTAATCAGTTCTTTTCAAGGGAAAAACAGTGGAACGCCCAGAATTATTTTATTCACTCACTTTTCTTGAAATTGAATTAAGTAGCGAATTTGGTAGTGAGTTTTCTAAACGAATATTTGCCTCATTTTCACATTGAATCGCGGATGCCGGTAACTGAAAATAACAATAATAGTGATAATTATAATTATAATATTGATAAAAAAACTGTTGTGCCTGGAGACGCATTTAACTCAAGTTAGACGAACCACAACTGCACTGATACTTTGTCCAAAAAAACTTTGGCGACAGCGTTATTCAGTTCAGTGGAAACAATCACAAATTCTAGTACAATTAATTCAGTTATATATCCAGTCATGTCAATTTTACAAGGGTTTATTCACCTACCTACTTATCTACCTCAAATTTCACAAAATTCAGTTACAACAACAACAACAACAACAGCGCCAGAAACACTATGAAGCCCTACAACAATCTAAACTCTCATCCAAATCCTCACTAAGAAATTATCTCTTCAATCATCTAGACACCCAATCCCATCTCCATACTCAGACTGTTCATTCTCTTCTCAAGTCAGTCAGTCACTCAGCCACAGAAGTACACAACAATTTATCACTTGAGGCATTATTTGAACAGTGGGAAGTGTCTCACTTCCCACGTCCAGTGTGATACGCTGTAATACGCTGGACCACCGATAAGAAGACTCTAGAACATCTGGATTTCACGCATCGATAACATATGTCGAATGTCATACGGACTCGAAGACTTACAGGCAGATAGGTAGGCGAAAACCAAAAAACTTCCCCAAGAGGTGAGACAGGCAGCGAACACACGACTCCAGGTGAACATAGAGAAGATAGAGAGGGAGGTGATGAAGATAACCAACCAACCGTCACAGCAACAACAACCAGCACTAATCACCATCAACGGGAGAGATTTGACTGAGGTTGTCTCCTTCTCTTATCTAGGCAGCCAGCGTCGTTTCCACTACAGCCATTCGGAACGGGTGAAGATGTCAAAGCAGGCCAGAATCAGAAAGGCAAGATACACCTTCATCAATCTGAAACCAGTTTGCAAATCTTTTGCACTCACTCAGCAGCATAAACAACAAGATTCGCATTCTATTCAACACAAATCTGAAGTCAGTCAGTGAGTCTATTCTTCTATATGGGTCAGAAACTTGCACTGCACGTGAGTAGTCACGAAAAGGATTTCCAACAGCCTGTTTCAGACTTTCATCAACAGCTGCCCACTTCGCTGGCTGGCTGACTCCATACTAAAGATCAAATGGCCAGGAAGAATTAGCAACAAGAAATTATGGCTGGGAAAAAACCAACGAAGAGCCGCTCGCTCAACAAATATGTAGGAGAAAATGGAGATGGATTGGGCATAAATAAGTTGAGGAGACAGTCAAATGAGGTCGCGCACAATGCAGGTCATTGCTCAAGTGGCACCCGAATGGGAAGCGATGAGTGGATCGTCATTGCTAGGGTGACATGGAGGAGATCATGTGAGTAAGAGGAGCAGATGAGAGATTGTGGGCAATCATGGTCGAAGCAGAAGAGGACGGCAGAAGATAGGACAAAGTGGAGATGTGTTGTTTAAACCCTATATTCCACTCGGAACTCAAGGAACAATAATAATAATAATAATAATAGCAGATCTCTGATTAATATTGGCGGAGATTTCATGACAATAATCCGCATTACTTAACGAATCACTGGAAATCAAGGTTGATAATTTTTAGACTATATACCTATTGAAGTAAAAGATACAATGTGGTAGTTAGGAACTATTCGTCAGTTTACGGTCACTGTCTGAACAGAGAGGAGAGAGAGTACAGAATAGACTAGTGATGACTTGGCTGAAAATATTTACTACTCATATTAACAAATCAATCAATATAAACTATGAAAAACCTACCTGTAAAGTCAAACTGTCTTGAGCCATAGCCGATTGATAAATTTGCCTCAAGACTGAATTAGCACTTTTAAAAGTGCAATTTATGCCGGGAAATCGTAAATCTCCCGATGAGTTTCGAGAGATACGACCCCATAGGAGATTATCATTAGTAGAATCAGAATTCATAATTTGTTCATCAATCCTATTGGCAGCTGAAGAGGTTGCCAACTGTTTAAAATAAAGGGAAATATGAATTTTGAGATGTACATATATGGTAAGATATTCAGTAGCTTTATAAAAACACAGAAAGGACTGTATAATACTTTCCTTAACCAGCTGGATATATCTGCTTATCAATAAGCGATGTTCTCACGAAGTCTAGAATCCACTACTGAGTTGTGGATGATAACACTCCTGGATGCAAACCAATCTGCAAAGGCATTGGCGATCCAATGCACAGAGAGTCGCCACTGATCCTCAGCTCGGAGGTTAGATTTTACAGGTGTAGGACAAGGCTGTGCGCACCGACGCATTGTAATCCCGACATGTGATGGTTACTAAAACAACCACCTAGAGATACATGAACTTATAGATTACTCTTAACAGTTCACTTGTAAGGGTGAATGCAGGTACGGGTTCCCCCCCAGTGCTGTAACAATAATTCGCACATACCACACTTATAAGCATTGACCACCAATTGATTAAGTACGATTTGCGCAGCCTGCATGTTATTGCACAGTTAGACGATGTCGTTTGCAAACTCGAAGTCCATACAATTTATTATTAAGCAATACTTTGGTAAAAGTATGCAAGAAATAATGCTCAAACTTTGAACCTAATAATTGACGGGAAAACACTAGTTACTTGTAAAGAAAAGTCAGGGTTAAAACAACTCAAAGCACTTAATGTACACTGCAGACGAGGCATATTCTACCTACTGTTGTTAAAGTATTGCAATTGGGAAATATCGGTACACAAGACATCAGGTAATTGATCACCGTTATGCCTGAAGTGTCACATTGATAACAACTACAAGTCATCAACTGAAACCATTAAATCACTACAGTTTAGATGACCACATCATACCTTGCATGGGTTCAATTAATACCTGCCACTAGGACAATGTAAACCAAGGAAGCTTGCTCTTAAAAAGATTTTATGGGAGGCAGCTGTTGCTATCTCTCAATCCTGTTCTAAATTATGTATGGAAAAGTAGGCGACACGGTAATCAGAGTCAAACCTACTTGTTGCATACTTCAGATTATTTTATTAGGAATACACTTACTGTGATACAGGTTATATTTATGTATTCTACGGTTTCATACCTTAGACTTACAATTTTGTTGCTTACATGTGAGTATACACTGTAAGAGATGATTTCAAGTCAGATCACAAACTGACATTAATCAAAGAAACAACACCAGGAAGTACTGGACAGCTCTTTTGTCCTAATTTGAGACTCTTCAACAGCACACCCACTTACTACTACTCCATCAGGGATTGAACTCTGGGGCTTTAATTTGCGAAACGAGTCCATTCATCATTCGGCCACCGGGACAGAATCCTATGGATCATGAATTCTGTCAATTCGCGACGTAAAGCGCTACCACCCACCAGTCTTGTCAGCGAGCTTCGCCCCTGAATCCAACTCATTGGTCACGACATTTCACCAAAACACCAGGTAACTATATCCTGTAGCCAGTCAGTAGTGGGCTGTTCAGTAACCCCCTGGTCCTCTAACTGGTGATAGTCAGTCAAGCTCTTGCAAAATAGAAGTAGATGGTTTGTTATGAATTATTGCACAAGTGAGTCAAGAGTTTAACCAATTATAATAAATCCAAATAAACGGATAAAAATGTATCCATTGTTTCCAGCATCAGTAACATTCAAATGACTTTCGGATAAACCCAAACTGGGTAAAAACTGGTATCATCTCAAGAACACTTTTGTGACGCATTAAAAGTGAAGTAATAATAAAGACACTGTATAATTACTGATCTAACTCTTTATTAATGTCATAACATTACGAATTTTTTTTAGACAAAACGGCACTAAAAGACATGGAAAAGCACTTACATCATGGGGTGTACGTGGAGGAATTGTACTGGGTACGATGAGGGGAGTGGAATCATTGACACTGGTCACAGCAGGTAGAGAACTTCCTGTAACAAGTCCATTAGACTCGTTCACATGCCCACTAAGCGTCCTAGAAATCGGTTGCTGAGAGACTCTTGACCTAGTGTAGAAAGTATTCCCTGGGAGGGTTATATGTTCAGATGAAGTAAAGTAAGGTGGTGAACAGGTGACGCTTTGCGATCTTGTAAGTCGAGTTTGACTATTAGATTGAGTAGGCTCAGAAATTTCTGTAACCTACAAAAATAGTGCTTATGTACAACTATGGATATTTCGTACACGGGATACACAAAAACTATGTGGAATTAATATAAAATATACCATAGTATCCACTCCAAAACGACTTTAGAACAAATTTTACCTTCGAGGTGAAGAATAATGGTGGAACTCATATTGAATAAATGAATAGCAAACCACACTAAAAGTCTGTTCAAGATTCTATAATCGATTCTCTATTCTTTAACTCTGGACTAACATCAGCATCAGTACTATCACATAACAAGGTTCCGTTTAGGGACTCACTGTTGTGGTGCTGAACAAGAACACTTCCGCAGATCGCTCAGTGATTAAACGTAGATATTAGCCTCCCAATGGATGTTCTACCTGATCCCTGATGACACAACCCATTTCCCTTGCTACGAAATGAATTGTAAACATACGTTCAACCAGATACCCAGGGTCATGATTGAACTGAGATGCTTACAAATATGTATCACAACAGCAAACAAGTGACTGGATGTATTACTTCCAAGATTCATGTCTATAAAGGTCATATAAACATCACAAAATTAGTTTTCCTGCAAAAGTTAACCTACCATTCTTTGTCCCTAAAGACAATTCTAATACTACATGCTACTTATATGCAAACGACGAACTTAATCCCTACCGTCTTCCCTGAAACTACATTATTTATATGTAGTCAACTGTTTCGCTGAACTGTGCAATCAATAATAACTGTTTTAATACCACCACTGGAAAGCACACGTAGCAGGAAGTGACTGTGATGACACGAATAGGTGGCGTGAAAGAAGTGAAGGGCAGGAAAGTCTATAGCATTTCTGTATAATACTGAGATTATTCTACGATGTGAACATGGTGTAAACCATTTATACAAATATCAACCGATGCAGTTAAATCATAGCGGCTACCCCAACACATGACGTTCGACACCCAATTAGATGTGTTACAATCAAATCAAATTGTATCTTTTGTTCTAGGATTACTTACTTACTTACTTACTTACTTTCATGAAGCTGAATTCTCACGTATTTACGTCATAGGATGCTAGAATTTCACAATACTACTACAATTATTCAGTAGTCCGCACGGATTACAAAACAGGCATTTGTTAGGGGAATTTTAGCAAGACCAATGTAAATACAAGTCTTATTTTCGATACTTAATTCAAGCTGTACAAAATCAAAGAAATGGATTGGGTAACTATAAACAGTACAGCATATTCAAGAGTTAGTTTGTAAGGATTAAACTGGTATCAATCCGTCGTCAAACTCGTAAAAACAAATCTAATATTTACAAACCAACTATTGAAAATTAATCTGATGCTCGCTAGTGAATTGTCTCAGGACGGAGTTTCCTAGAGTGAGAAGTCATGACCAGTGGGGTTCAACCATTCAAGTGTGAGGATGGATTTCCCACCGATGGCATTGGTTGGTGGTCGCGCTAAATCACAAATTGGTAGAATTTAGAATTAATGCACTGGCCGTTGAATCGAGTCCCAATGGCTGAGTGGTATACGAGCTTGCCTTGTAACCGGAAGGTCTTGGGTTCAAACCCTGGCAGTGGGTGCGTACTGCCGATGATTCCCAGAGTAGGATGAAGCAGCTGTCCAGTACTCGCGGCCGGTTTACAATGGTTCTCTAACTGATATCAATCCGTGGTCAAACTCGTAAAAGCATAATGCATACCAAAAACTTACTGGGACGGATAAACTTTGCGAGGGGGAGCCTTCCGAAGTTGGCTCTTGTTGTATGTTTGTCAATAAGAGGTTCCCTCGTCTCTCTGGTAAGAAGAGCTTTGTAATCACCACGTCCTGCAACATTTTGCATCAAACCACTATAGCACACAGACCACAAGCACGACGGGGCTTGAATAGCCCGGGGTACAAGTTACTTATCGTCATTTATAACAAGTTTAGATAACCGATCTTCCTCTTGCTCTAGTGATGCCACATTGACGTTTCTTTCTGAAAAAGAAGAAAAAGAAACTTGTTTAGTGGCATTATATTGGTTTCTATTGCGTTACACCACAGGGGTAGAACGCAAGCTACCAAATTGCGCGTGCCATGTATGTTGCATTCACAGGACTAAACAAAACCTATCACGAAATCCTAACTTTCAACATCCAATATCATTTTTACAAGCTAGTGTAAACTAAATTGATTTGTCTGTGCTCGCTATCAGGGAGTGAGTGCCCTTCAGCACAGAAGAGCACCTATCGCATTCCAGACGCCCATACTGCCTCTGCGACACCGGATTAGCCCTCTAGTGACGGTAATAGAAAGACTGGTAAAAAGAAGAGGAGTACTAGGGGTCAGAAACCTTCAGCTAGAGTCTCCCAGAAACTTGTGGATCAAGCCTCAACCACACCGGTGGACAGCAGACAGACGCGATCGAATACGGTCAGCGAGAGGGATGCCAATGAATGGCGTAATGTAGTTTCCAGCAATAAGCGAGAATAGGACACCATAACGGCCACACTGTCCACGAGGGACGAAAAGAAACCTGCGCTGCAGAGGAAGAAAGACACGGCAAGCAAACCTGATCTATCTGATAGGTCTCTCATTCTCCACAAAGTGGAGATCAGGTTCGAGCATAACCTTAGCTTGATCAAGCCCCTTTTAGATAAGTTACTGCCAACAACAGTATCAGGCATAACCATACACATTATATGGAATTGACCGAAAGCCTGAATCGACAGTGAATCAGCCGGTGCGCCTTCTCAAAGTCGTGCTCAACTCCAAAGAAGAGAGGGATGTCATTCTAAGAAACTCCCAAACTCTTAAAGGATCGGGCAACATGTTCGTGCAGACTTATACCTAGCGCACCGGGACAAAACACAGTCTAAGGCCCTAGAATTAAGGGAACGACGCTGAAACAGCGAAAAACATTAAGATTAAAGGCTTTCGAGTTGTCAAACTTCGAAGTTTGATGATCCCGAAACCCCTGCGGGTGGGCCGCTGAAGCACCAAACTGAATCGACAGTTTGCTACACAGACCCCCGCAGGCTGTTGAACAAATGGACTTAACTGAGTAATATGATTGACTCCGGAAATCCGGATGTAATTACCATCACACAGGCATTGCTCACACCCGATATCTTTGATGACGAAGTTAACCTGCCAAACTTCAAAGCGCATAGGGTGGACCGACTAAGCCATAAAGGAGGTGGCGTAGTCATCTACCTCAAGAAATGCTTAACCGTGTGTAGCATCGAAGCACTCTTTCACGGAAATGAATCGTGCGAACTTCTACGCTGCAGAATTAAACGCGTTGGCTAAGATATTGATCTCACTGCTATATACCGCAGTCCTGACTGCAGTGCAGATGACTTCTTATTAGAGATGCTAGGCTCCTGGACATCGAAATGTCGGAGTCTCGTAGTCGGCGACTTCAACGCCCCAACAGTTGACTGCACAAGCTTAATAACACCATCTTCAGACAACTACTCTGATCATAAACTGCTGGAATGTAGTATTTCGCTAGCCTTAGTCTAACATGTCATTAGGCCCACACAGGTAAATCAGTGGGTCCTGATGGTATTCATACAAGGCTTCTCAAGGTGCTATCAGCTCACATAGCCTCCCCACTGAGCACGATCTTCAAGCAATAGTAACCCCCACACACAAAGGAGGATCGATTCAAAGCCCTTCAAACTACAGGCCTACAAGTCTCACCAGCAATTTAATCAAGGCACTGGAGAGAATCATCAATAAAAGTATCATGGCATATCTGGAAAACAACAATTTCCTATCTGCAGTACAGCGTGGCTTCCGAGGAAATCTCTCATACCTGTCAAATCTTCTCACCGCAAGAGAAAGCCGGGTCAAATCAGGGGAAAACAGAAGACCCATCGAAGTCGTCTTCACAGACTTCAGTGAACCCTAACCAGACACAAGGATCTAAGTCATATGCACACAACAACACGCCGACCACCCATTTCGGTTATAACTATGCAGACTACATGACTCTAGCCAACCCATATGACCAAAATTTTCTCCAGCGACAACTGGCAGAAACGCCTAGGATCATGCACATAGCACATATGATGTCAGACCAATTCCTTGCTGGTATAGCAAACACCTTACAACAGGGAAACTGCTTCTTCCCCGACAGATAGCAAACACTTTATACACACCTAATACCAATAGTAATACCTTAGATTATCATACTAGTATCTCCCATAGCACGCAATATCTAAACGACCAACCACTCACGAGTGACATCTCACAACCCATCCCTAAGTATCAAACTAAAGAAAACGTCTCTAGTGATCAAAATGTTGTAATTAATGAATCCGATAACGACTGCACATATTCAGCTGATAACCATAGAGCATTTTATTATGATATTGCCCATACACTAAAACCACTTAGTCAAAGTCTATCAGTCATCCTCATAAACGCTAGATCAGTTCTTAACAAACATTTAGCATTATGTACGTTAGCCTCTATATGCAATCCGTCGCTGATCATGATCACTGAAGCCTGGTGCTCAAGTGGTATTACGGATGATAGCTTATCAATTGATAAGTACAATCTTTTTCGAGGGGATAGGGAAACAGGTCGTGGGGGTGGAACACTCATATACGTCAAACAACCCATTTGTTCAACGCATTTTAGTCACCCTATTCTGTCACAACTTAATGATTCGGTGTGGGTCGAAATAAAAGTTCTCAGAAGTAAACCTATCCTTATAGGGTGTGTATACCGACCGCCATCATCCAACCGCGAATACGATAACGTACTCAGCAACGTATTCAGTGTTGCATCCAATCTTCCCTTCAGTTATAATATAATTGGAGGTGACTTCAATTTGCCTGATATATCATGGCGTACACTTCGTGGACCCTCGAGGTATGATAATCTTCTTAATTCCATCATTACAGGAGGATGGACGCAACACATAAATGTACCCACTAGGTCCGATAACATCCTTGATCTTATATTCACGATCAACGTAGCACCATCTACAATTCATGTGGGACATGAATTCCCAGGTAGTGATCATAAAATAGTTGCATGTTCGTTTAATATTTCTCCAGAAACTATACACAGAAACAAAGTTATTCCGACACCTATAAGACTATACACGCAGGTTGACTGGGACTTGTATCAGGACTTGATTAGATACTCTAATTGGGATTCCTACTTTACCAATGACTCCTTAGAGGAAGTCCTTAAAAACTTCTATGACAATATACAGTCGGTTAATGATGTCATAGCGCCTGTGAAACTGATTAAATTCAAAATTCCTCAAGGTGATTTTATTCCAATATCATTAAGAAGAAGTATGCGGAAGCATTCATTAAGTTACTACAGACATGACGACTTATCGTCGTTAATAGCTATCAAAACAATCCTCATTAGAATCCATGAGTTAAAAAATCTAAGTCTTAGAAATAAAGAGACGCGGGCAATTCAGTCGCCACATAACACTGGAGAAATAGCCAAACTCTTCAAAAGTAGGTTAACTAACTCCAAATCAACATATCCAAAAATAATACACCTAGGTGGCATTACTCACGAAAGTGATGAGGATATATGTGAGGTGTTTAGCACGCACTTTGCCAAATTGTACACTCTAGAAAACGACCAGGCTATAGATTTCCCTCGTAAAACAGAAAAGTGTTTAAGCGATGTAGTCTTTAACGCCCAAGAAATCGATAAAGCTACCACAACTCTTAAGCTTACTAATACTCCCGGCCCAGATGGAATGTCTTCTGTCCTCTTAAAAAAGGGTGGAAATGACATGAATCTACTTCTTCTCAAGATATTTTCAACTTCGATAAGGAGTGGAACATATCCAAATGGCTGGAAGAAATCTTACGTTGTACCCATTCACAAAACCGGGCCTATAGCGGACATAGATAACTACCGCCCCATCAACATTACTTCCGTAGTTTCACGTGTGATGGAAAAGATTATAAAGAAGCAAATTGTTCAGTTTTTGCTCTCGAATGACTTAATATCCGCCTTCCAATACGGTTTCCTAAATAGAAGATCGTGCATTACTTGCCAATTAGATTATTTCGACCACATTACTGAGTGTGTAGACAAAGGTCGTTCAGCAGCAACATTATTTCTAGACGTTAGGAAAGCTTTTGACAAGGTCCCACATAAGAGACTCATATTGAAACTCCTATCTTATGGAATAAGTGGAAGGCTACTTGAGTGGATAACTTCTTTTCTTACAGGAAGAGAACAGTTAGTTAAAGTCAACCATCACTTATCAACATCCAAACCGATAACCAGCGGCGTGATACAAGGTAGTGTTCTTGGCCCTACCCTATTAATTGTATTCATAAATGATATTGTTTCTATGATCAAGTATGGCAAGTCATACCTCTTTGCAGACGACCTCAAAGTTGTCTATGATTTCGACTATAATGATATGAATATTGTTAGTAAAATCCAAGAAGACCTAAATAGTCTATGTAATTGGAGTGAAAAGTGGCAGTTAATGTTCAATCCAGCTAAATCTGGGATAACATACTTCGGACGTTGGAAACCTAGCATGTGTCTATACATGTACGGTGACCTTGTCTCAAACACGAACACAGTCACAGATCTCGGGGTAACATACTCAGATCTTACCTTTACTGAACATGCAAATAAGGTGGTATCTGATTGTAAACGTCTAACCGGCTTTGTGCTACGCAACTTTTACACCCCAGAAGCCAGATTAGCCGTATATAAGATATGCATTCGCCCCAAACTTGAATACTGTGCCCACTTATACAGTAGCTTTAAATCAGCAGACAGAAAAAAAGTTGAAAGTGTCCAAAGATTCCTCACGAAATGCATATTAGGTTATGATCAGCAAATAGAATACCTTGACAGATGTATTCGACTGGACTTAGAACCCTTATGGTTAAGGAGAGTGAAGTGCAATTTATTTCTCTTATTCAAAGTTGTAAGAAAGCACTGTAACAGTAACTCGTCTATAACCTGGGCTAATCCTAAATCGTATGGACTACGCAACCATAACTACCTTCTCAAGGTTAACACCCATAAGCTCACCACT